AGGTGGGGCCCTCGCAGCTCTGCCTTCTCCCCTCTCCCCACAACAGCCGAATGTGGGGCCTCTGGGCTGGAGAGAAGGCTGGCTGGCATGAGGGTTGCTGTTCTGTGGGATCCTGTGTGAATGGGGGGCAAGGGGTGCTACTGCATAGTCCTAACTGGAGCTGGGTGACATTTTGGGGATGAATACTTTATTTGCCGAAAAATGCAGCTTTGGGTCAACCAAAACTGTGCAGAGATTTGGCAAATCGGGTTGGCCAAAAGAACTATATGCGAGTTGAAACGTAGATAGTTCGGCTTCTTCCAGAGGGGAAACATGGGGACAAAATGCTTCGTTTGACCCAAACGAATTTTCAAGTTTGTCGTTTTGGCAAAAAAAAACCCAATAATTGTTGTTTTAGGGCAACCCAAAATGAAATCTTTTCCCAGGTGTTTTTGTTCAATGGTCAAACCAGACAGTCCTGGGCCCAGCACCAGTCCTCTTCCCACTGCTCCTGGTCTTGCAGCCTAGGGCTGGGGTGGAGGGGCACTTGGCATGGCCCGGGCACCTCTTCCCCCATGGTGGTCTCTGGCACGCAGCTCCACCCTGACTCCATGTCACCAGTGAGTGTAATGATCTCAGAAGCCAGCAGTTAGCATTCTCAATCTCTGCTCGCTGTCCTGTGCCATGAGAAGATACTGACTCCACTAGGCACTGCACAGGCAGGGGCTGGGAGCCCTGTTACGCTGTTAATCATTACAGTCCCGTGTAGCTCCCTGGGGTGTCTGCTCTGCAGTGAAACCCTGCTCCTGGATAGGGGCCTGCAGCCCCCAGAACCCAGCTGACAGGTGACCGAATGTGCACTAGCCATGGGAAACGCACAGCAATCCAGGGGAGGCTTAGGAACTAGAAAAGGCTTCCTGGCCTAAGCGTACCCTGGGTCTGGGTCACTCTGTAACCGACTTGTTTGCTATGCAGAGCTGGGTTGTCGTCCCCTCCTCCCCCCAATAACCCTGTGGGGACCCAGACCAGGACAGCAGAGTGGTGGGTGGGTGTGATGGTGCTGCCCGTGGGAGCCAGCTGAGGTCACTCAGTTAGGGTGAACTGCAAACAAAATGGGGCAGATAAACCCCAAAAGCTGGTGGATATTCCAATACTTAGATTTACCAAGCCCCACAAAACAGCTTCTGTATTACCTCACGGGTTACTCAGAAGTCCAAACAACGCAGTTTTCTTAAAGTGCCCAGCCTCAGGCCTCCGTCCAGACACGCCTGTCAGATACGATGATGATTACTGAAAATCTTCTCATCATATAAAAGAATAGGTTCTTCCACCCCCAAAGGATCAGCCACATACCCAGGTTCAATTATAACTTAGATCTTACCCAAAATACACACTATAGCCAATTCTTATTAACTAAACTAAAATTTATAAAAAAAGAAAAGAGAGAAAGTGTTGGTTAAAAGATCAACCTACATACAGACTTGAATTCAATTCTTGAAGTTCAGTTGCATTGCAGAGGTGATCGTGTAGTTGCCAAAAGTCCTTTTAGAAATAGTCCAGAGGTTATAGTCCAATGTCCATATTCAGGGTGGCTCCAGTCAGTGACTGGAGATCTCAATCCTTATGGCTTAAGGTTTCCCCCTCTTGAAACCCAAAGCAGATCTGAGATGAAGCAGGGTCATGTCCCAAGGTTCTTATACATTTCCAGCAGCCTTTCTGCCTGAGAAAACAATAGGCCTAACTCTCCTTCTCCCAAACATCCTGGCAATTAGCACAGGGTAATTTATCCATTCCACAGTTCAGATACAGGTTACCACAACCTTCAAAGAGACAGAGACAATAATACTATTTCCCTCAAGTATCATCAGAAATGTTAATATTCCTTTTTTGATCTTTGAATTAAAGTTATAGCAATAGACAAGCCGTGTTTGCTTACATCACAAGACCTGAGCAAACATCTACCCTTGAGATCTCTAACAATGCAGACTTGCATTTCAAAGCTCTGTCCATTTACAGATCTTCCTAACCAAGTCCTTAAGGTTCACCCACGGGTCAGGTCAGTCCGTGAGTTAATTAACTCTTTCTGGCCCTGTCACCTTCCAATGAAATATTTTATCACACTCCTAACGTCACAGTTGGGCTCCCTGCAGGAGCTCCCAGTGACCACATCGGGGGTAGCTCACCATGAGCCCAAAGCACTTCGCTAGCTAGGCATTGCTGCCCATGTCCACGGTGACTGAGGGCTGTTGGTTGTTCCCCAGGACCGTCGTTACGCTGACCTGACCGAGGACCAACTGCCGACCTGCGAGAGCCTGAAGGACACCATTGCCCGGGCCCTGCCCTTCTGGAACGAAGAGATCGTCCCCCAGATCAAGGAGGGCAAGCGCGTTCTCGTTGCCGCCCATGGCAACAGCCTGCGAGGGATTGTTAAGCACCTGGAAGGTACGGCAGCCTCATGCCCTCAGCTGCCTGCGAATCGGTGGGGCTGTGGGCTGGCTTGGCCCCAGGCTCAGCAAGGTGTCGGCACCTGCCAGCGCGCGTGTCTAACTGAACTCCGTCCCCCGCCCAGCAACCCTCTCCCGGAGCGTTGCTGGGACCCCGCTCCCTGCTGCTCTCGCAGCCCCTGGGGGGGCAGCGCCTTGCTGTGGGGCTCAGGGGGTGACTGTGCCTTGTGTTTGCAGGCATGTCCGAAGAGGCCATCATGGAGCTCAACCTGCCCACCGGCATCCCCATCGTCTACGAGCTGGACAAGAACCTGAAGCCCATCAAGCCCATGCAGTTCCTGGGGGACGAGGAGACTGTCCGCAAGGCCATGGAGGCTGTGGCGGCTCAGGGCAAAGCCAAGAAGTGAAGGCAGGTAGTGGAGGCTTGTGAGCAGTAGATGAGCCCCCTTCCCACCCCTCCCCTGCACACACAGCCTATAAGAACAGAGTACAGAGCCAGCTCCCTGGGACCTGCATCCCCCCGTAGACAACCCTGCGAACCCACAGGCCAGCTAGGCTGCAGAGGCATCTGGGAGCCTCTCCTCACAAGCCCAATGGCCATAGCCAGATGGTAACCGCCTCTGCAAGGCTCCAGCGAACCCTGGGCTAGACCAGTGACTGTGTAAGGTATTGGCCAACCCAAGCATTCCCTAGACAGTCCCCCTGGGCCTTCCTAGCTGGGCTTGAGCTCACAGGGAGCTCTTGTCATTGTCACGAGTTTTACTGTTGCTTGATGTCGTCATTCCAGGCGTGAGAGCATGGACCAGCGGAGTGAGATGTGAATGCTGCTGTGAGTCAGGGACCAGTCTTGCTCTCACATGTCCCTGGGGGGTTTGTCCTGGTTTACTTCTTGAAAAGGGCCATGTTTGGGGTGCTGCGTTCTCGGTGTGTGGGAGTGCACGCGCCAGTGACTGTACCTAGCTCTCCAGGGCCAGCTCTTTAATTTATTGCCTTCAACCACGGACTGGGGAGGGGGGCGTATGGAGGAGTGTGGTGTGGAGCTAGCGTCGGCCCTGCCCCCTTGCCTGCTGTGTAGTGCTAGTGAAACACAGTTCCTGTATGTTAGCCCACGCGCTTGTGTCCCTGGCACTGGCCTCGCCGTGAGCCTGGGTCTGCACTGGGTCTAGTGTCACTGTCCAACAAGAGCGGTTGTCTCGTTAAGTACAATAAAGGAGTGATGTGCAATAGCTGCTGTGTCTGTCGCATCCCTTGGCAGGGCCCTCCAGTGCCGGAACTGGGGCAAGTAGGGGCATGCAGGCTCCCAGGGCAGCCTGTGACACCAGGTACACACACTAGACCCTTTGTCTATCCCAGCTGGGCCTTGGGACCATACAGGGTCCCTGGTTCCCTTTCCTCCACCTCCAGCCGTGGCACACAGTCTGGTCTCCCTTTCCCTTGGGCACAATCCCTCCAGCTGCTCCTGGAGCCCAGACCCCTGGAACACCTGCTGGAAAGGAGCAGGCCCTGCTACACTACTGATTACAAAACAGCTGGGCCTGCCCTGCTCCACCCAGCCCCTGCCAGAGCTGCAGTGTTCTCACAGCGGCTGTAGCTAGCGGGCCTCTGAGCGGTGACTCCTGCAGCCTGCCCTGCTGGAGCTGGATGGATAGGAGGCAAGCTCCCAAGGGGGCTCCCGCAATGCCTAGGCTTTCCCTGGGGTGGCACTGTGGCTGTGCAGGGGGCCCAGGCCTTGTGCCACCTGAACTCCTCAAGGGAACACTCTGAACAGAACCCACTCTGGTAGGCTCTCCCAGCTGCTGCTGCTTCCCCTCCCCACTCCATTACACGGGGTTAGCGGGACCCAGGGGCTGGGTAGCTTAGTGGAAATGTAAGGGGTCATGAAAACTGACCTTAGAAGATGTAAGAGGGATTGTCAGACACCCCCTTCTCAGGAGCAGTGCGAGGACTGCAGCATTACAGGGGGCAATCCTCCCTTGTCTTGGCCCTGGCTGTTTGCCCACACCCCTGAGGCCAGTTATTGAGTCTGGCCTCTTGCTCCTGGACAGTGCACACCTTCCTGCAGAAGTGCCCAGGGGAAAGCCAAGGCTGGGCAGTAGGGGCAGCCCCCTAGGGTGGTTCCATTTAAGCCTGGGCACCAAGTGGCACAGGGGCCCATACCAATGGTCAGTCATGCTGGCTCTCTGGTGCCCCTTCCTGTGCAGTGCCCAGGCAGCAGCAGGAGCTACCCGGGCCTGGATTCCAGCTCACAGAAGGAATGGAAGGGGATGCCAGCTTGTGGGCACAGCCACGCAGCACCCTCAGCCAGGCAGTACCCTCACCAGCATGACAGGAGCCCAGAGCCCTTCAAGAATACATTTATTGTTCATGGCACAGCAGTTTAAAAACCGAACTGGAGAGCGGGGCTACCACTTGCAGAAGGACATAGGGGACCCTGCTCCCCCTACGCTAGCCTTAACACAATCCAAAATCCAGTGGATGCTCCAGGAGGTGCAGGCTGCACGCACTGGCCTGCAGGGGTTGCTCTGGTTAAGGGATGACAACGGAGGCACGCGCTGGCTGCCTGCAGCACCCGTGCCAGGGCCCAAAGCTGGTGGCTCAGGCTGGCCTGCAGCAGGGACCGGGCCCAGTCTGGAAGCAGGGTGGCCAGCTAGGTCTGCAGGAACTCCGGCTGCACTCGTGCCACCTTGCGGAGCTCCTTGGCGTGTGTCCTGGGGCACTGCATCTCACACCAGCTGATCGGCACCATCTGTGCCCCTAGAGCCAAGAACAACAGGTCACTGTCCAGCTTCCCGGGGGCTGGGATCTGCCTGCTGCAGCTCCCTGCTCGGGCCAGCCTGTCCAGCGGAGAGGGGCTCGGACTAAGGAACGTTCCAAGCACCCACGGGACTGCAGCTCCCTCTGGGGAGAGTCCTGCCAGCGCCTCCTCCCAAGGGCCCACAGTGCTGTGTGGAGCATCACCCAGGCTCCCCTCCCCACTGGCTGGAGGAGAACAGAGGGGCCTGCCAAGGCAAAGGCAGGCCTAGCAACAGAACCCAGGAATCCTGGCTCCCAGTCCCTTGCTGACCACTAGAGAAAGCCGTTACCCACTGTGCTGCCAACTCGCACGCTGTGAGCCGTTAACGCCCAGGACAGGGTCCTGATGCTCATTCCTCCCACCCCGCAGCAGCTCAAATCCTCTCCCTGCAGGGGAGGCCCAGAGGTAGCAGGGAGTTGGAGGCGAGGCTGCCGGCCAGCGACTTTTACCTGCTTCGCTGTGAGCCACCACCACGCCCAGCTCGTTCTCCGCCGTGCTCAGCAGGTAGTTGGACTGCATGTCCCCCAGGGAGATCTAGGCACAGGCAGATTAAGGGAAAAGGCTCCAGGGCTGGGCTGGAAAAGCCCGGCTGGCCGCTCCCTGCCCCACCCCACCCCACCACTGCAGGGAAGGATACCACTTTGGCCAGGACTATGTCCCCAGGACGGAAACTCTTGTAAACTTCCACCTGCCAGAGAGAACACAAGGCCCAGGTTAGTGGGGGAGGGGGGCAGGAGAGCAGCTTTGGCCTGGACCAAGGCCAGTCCCCTGTGCAGAGAGGAGCCACACAGCCAGGTCCAGCAAGTCCCATTACCTTGACAACAGCCCCTTTGGAGCAGCTTGGTACAGACCCCCCTCCCCCCAAGGGACAGCAGCGAGCCCCAAACACTGCATCCTGCTCAGCCTGTCCCAGAGGGGGGCTCCCTTCAGAGAGCCGGGGGGAAGACACCGAGCTTGGCAAACCCCGCTCCCAGAGGGAGCCATGTCCTGAGCAGGCCGGGGGATGAATGGGGCAAGCCATGCCGGGGGGTGGGGTTACAGCTGCAGACATGGAGAGGTGAGTGGAGCGACCCATGCAGGGGGGGGGGGGGGGTTGGCTGCATGCGCGGGGAGGAGGGATGTCAGCTGCCGTGCTAGGCAGTAACAGAAGCAGGCAAGACCTGACTGACCTTGTCTTTCTCTGTGGCTCGAATGTCTTCTCTCCTGTAAGAAGAGACAGAGGGATCCTAGTACCGGGGCAGGCAGACCGGCCCACTCCCACTGGGCAGCAAGGCCCAGGGCTACTCCCACCTTCTTTTGACTGCCCCTCGTTCCGGGACAGGCTGTTCCCCAGGCCAGCGGGGGGCCCAGGACACTGCCTGGTGCTGGGGCTGGGCGGAAGGCATTAGATAAGGCAGCACTGGGATTACTGAGCTGGCCCCGTTCCCCTTACGTTGGGGGGGTGGGGGGCACCAGCGGGAACCCAACCCTCCCCCAGGGAAGGGCAGACGAGGCCAGGCCCTACCGTATGGTGCCTCGGAAGGCGGATTTCAGCGGCGTGGAGCCGATGTACAGGATGTGCACCTTGGCAAAGCGGGAGTTAATGCTGCACACCTGTGGGGAGAGAGTCTGGCATGAACCCTGGGCTGAGCGCTGCCCAAGAGGTGCCAATGTACTGGGCAGCGAGACCAGCAGGGACTGGCACCCCCTGGCTCTCCTCTAGGGGACCGAACGCCACTCCTTCCTGCTCCCAGGGTCACTGGCACAGCAGGGTGGGGTGCTCCACGCCAGACAGACCCCGCTCCCCCTAAAGAGCACCCCATTCCCCTCCAGCCTGACACAGGAGCCAAGCAGGCCAGGATTTAATGCCTGCCCCACAGCCCCAGGGACAAAGGCCTCCACCTCTTCCCCAGAGCAGGGCCAGCCTGGTGGAAAGCAGGAATTCAGCCTCCGTGGCCTCTAGGCTGAGAGATGGGGGGTCCACCATGCTGACACCTCCTTGTCTGGTGGGGCAGATGAGACTCAGCAGCTTGTGGCACCCGGGCCCAGAGCAGAGTGTGGCCTGGTTGGCACTGGTGCTGTAGAGCCAAGAGGCTCCCTTCCTCTCCCAGCCCCAGGCCAGCCTGCCAGCCCCTCGGGAGAAGCTGGCACAAGGGCAGAGAGGGCATCGTCCACAGGCTGTGCAGCAGAGGGGAAGGTTTGTAAAACTTTCCGGTCGTTACTTGGGCATCTATTGCAGAGGACTCCTGCCCTTCCCCCTCTCCCCCAAAGCACTCTCCATGTCACCCCAGACGCGATGCCCCTGTGGTGAGACAGACCCTGCAGGCCTGGCGGGTTCGGCTGCTTTTACCTTGCACGTCACGATGGCCCCTACATCGGGCAGGAGCTGGGACTCGGCGTCTCTCACCACAGACACCACCGGTAGCTGCACAGGCGCAGAGAGAAGAGCCTCCGGTTAGCCCAGCGCCTGGCACAAGTATCTCCCACCTCCTACAGAGACAGCAACTGGCACGTGCCACGTCCACCAGGCCAGCTCCGCCAAGGGACTTAGTCAGTCCAGACCGTCAGCCCCCACAGCCCCATGCAGCGCTGAGCACTAGTTTTGTCCCCACATACTGGAGTTATTTCTTTATATTCATGGGCAGTGGGTATAATAGGCCAGGGGAGGCTCTGCCTCCTCTGGCGCTGCCGTTGCGGGGTCTGGGCTTGTGGCTCCAGCCCTGGGGAGGGTGTCGGCGGAGCTGGGGGCTAGCCCATGTTTATATTTGTCCTTTGTAATCGGATCGAGTTTCCACTCAACTGCCCCTCGTAGAGTAACGGGCCTACTCTGTCCTTGGTCTTCCTCTTGCTTCTAATGTACTTGTAGAATGTTTTCTTGTTACCTTTTATGTCCCTAGCTAGTTTGATCTTGTTTTGTGCCTTGGCCTTTCCAATTTTGTCCCTACATACTGGTGTTATGTGTTTATATTCATCCTTTGTAATTTCACCTAGATTCCACTTTTGGTAGGACTCTTTCTTGAGTTTTAGATCATTGAAGATCTCCTGGTTAAGCCAGGGTGGTCTCTTGCCATACTTCCTATCTTTCTACGCAGTGGGATAGTTTGCTCTTGTGCCCTTAATAATGTCTCTTTGAAAAACTGCCAACTGTCTTCTATTGTTTTTCCCTTAGACTTGCTTCCCATGGGATCTGACCTACCAACTCCCT